ATTTGGATCAGAAGGACAGAGCTACCTGTATTAAGTATATTCAGAGAGGGCTTGATCAAAGGAAGCTTTAAGTGATAGAAGTCCATTTGTACACAAGAAAAATGAGTACAGTAAGCAAAGGCAGGGGACGGTGGAGGACCTAAAATAATACCCAGCTCCAGCTATTCCCTGTTCTGTGACAGACGCCATCAGCCCATCTACACAAGCCCAGGGACACAGAGGCAGATGGGGAACTGAAATTATGGGTTTGGACAAGTGGACACCCTGTCTGGGCCCCTCCCAGGGCTGTCCCAGGAGAGCCTCAGCCCCATTGTCCAGGCAGGAAACCCATCATGTTGAACTAATACTGGAGCAGGTTTTGGACTGAGCTGAGTTGTTGCCTATCAGACACATCAYGGGATAGAGGAGGAGAGGATTATTATGGGACAATTTGGGGAGGAACTAAAGGTGAAGGAAGGGATGAGTTTGAGGAGGAGTAAGTGTGGGGAAAAATAGAGAGTTAAGGGGATAAAGGGCCAGTGGCATGTAAATAGTTTGCTGGTTGGTTAATTTGTCTAATKGTTTCTAATTAGTAGTGTGTTGTATCTTCATACTGAACTGCATTCGGACTCTCCTGGAGGAAGGGCTCTCTGTTCAGTGTGTATTGGGGGTGTGGGAATTCTGAGTACTGGAGTCAAGAGTTGGCACAGGGCCTGCACTGCCAGCAACAGGAGAGCCACAGTGACCACCCTAGGACAGAGGAGTGGGACTGTGGGTCACAGAGCCCTGTGTGTGCTGGGAGTGGGGCTGTGCTGGGACACCTCTTGAGCCTTGCTGCTGGTGGGACCTGAGGAGCGGAGCTGCAGCAGCCTCACTTCTCTCACGCCATCTTATCAATGTAATAGATCCTTTTCTAAAATAAGCAAGCAAAACTTAGGTGACTATCKCATCAAAATACCAGCTTTAAAAAATAATAATATTCTCATTTACCTCATGCAGTGAAAAACTATTTTTTTCTATGTATTTATAGTGGGCAGATAACTCACATTCTGTCCACAAGCTGTAAGATACATAAGCAAACACCACTTTCCTGTGTATAACATAAAGTGTACTGACCCAAKTGAATCCAAAAGTAGTTCTGGAAGTATTTTCATTTAGAAAATTTCATATTTTGATACAAAGACTGAATAGCATCTTAAAACAAATGATCCCAATTTATTGCCTCTTTGGTGACTAAAAAATCTAAAATAATTGCACTACAAATAMAAGCAGTTTAGTGTAGTCATCCCCATATGGTTCAAGATTCTAATTGGCTGTTTACAGTAATTCAGATAAAAACTTCAATAAATTTTCTGAGTAATGGAACACAGTCTTTTGGTAAATATCCACAAGGAGTTTTGGCTTCTTTRTTTCAGAGCCTCTCATGCTAAAGCTTTTTCATTGAGCAAGAAGGGATTTTCCCCATGACACTCAAGGTCCTTAAAAGTGATTTATTTCTGCATTTGTTGCTATTTGCTGGAACAAGACATTATTCATAGACTTTCACATCCATGTGAAAAGACTTTCACATCCATGTGAAAATGAATAAACAATCTGATGAACATAAACACCTTACAAAAAGTCCATCACTTGTTAACAATTTAGGATGAGGGGGTGACTGGATTAGGATTTATTGTTTCTTTTATTTGAGTTAACTTTTCTTCTCTGTTGTGGGTCAGAAGAAAAATCCAGTCTTTTTATTCAGCCTTTTAAGTGGCAATTCTGTACAGTATACAAAATATATACAAATAAGGACTTGTTTACAGCTGAAATCTTGTATTTGAAATTTGGTCAGTGTGCAATTGTTCCTCTGAAGAAAGAAYGATGGTAACTTAAACTATATTTTGGAGTCACTTTATCTTACATTATCTGTTTATTGAATTTATGGTTGGTTACATACTACTGACAGCATGTATTAAAGTACACCAAAGCACTACAGCCTAGTACGGATTCCAGTGCATCTTGGTAGCTAAGATACGTTTTGATTAAGAAAACAACTGGTTTTGCTTTGCATGTGGTAAAGTGAGCGGGAGGCTCATAGGAAACTGAGTCAGAACGGAAAGCTGTCCCCAGTGTCTGCAGCACCGGCACAGCTGCCAGGAGTTATCTGGGTTCATTTCCATAGCAGCCCATCAATACAGCTGCTTCTTTTCTAAAGGCCTCGCACTTGGACTAAGATTCTTATAAACTTAGATGTTACAGTTGAAGTTAAACGTTCAGACTGACTTCTTTTTTCCAGCATTATGGGAATAGCTAGATGGTACTCCTCTTTATTTAAAAACTACCTGAATTAAATTACATCCATTTTTTCTTTTATATAATGGGATTGGGAAAACTCTTTAGTGGGGATAGGGGCAGTTAGTTGGGTTTGGGCTTTTTTTTTTTTTTTGTAATTGTGTGAAAATTTTTCATATATCTTGTAATTCTTGTACCACTTCAAGAAACTGATACTTTTTTTCTGACATCCTTATGAGAAGAAAGCAGTATTCCTGGTTTTATTTTAAGAAGAATTAAACTMTCAGTATCCACAACTGAGGCCTTTTTAGTGTCACTTTTACTTTTTTTTTTGCATATCCGTGATATGAGTGGAGAGTATTCTGAAAGCAGAGTAGTTTCATGTTATCTTTCTTACTGGAACCATGGTATCCATATAGTAGTATTGGTATGTTGAAATAAATTCAAAATCCTTAATGGCTTTAAGGACACTTACATTTCTCCAGAAGATGTAACTTATTTTTGCTTGTAAATGCAAGATAAATGTAAGTTTAATGATCACTGCATTATCTTTTGCTGCAGTGTGAGTGATGTCTGGAACACTCTGTAACTGCAGAATGTGCAGCTGCTGTGACTCTGCAGTAGAGACAGAAGGCAGTTCTGAGAAGCAGAAACAACTTGAACCATAATACCGAGTTGCACAAAGATTCTGGCACTTCATTTTATGAGTTTACAAAAACACTTYTTCAGTGGGAAAAAAAGTATCATCACTTCCTAACTGGAAATATTACAGAAGTAAAAAAACTACAAGAACTTAGTGAAATAATGAATAGCAGCAAAAGTAATGCTGTTATTGGTGGACCCAGTGGTGTCCTGGGTGACAAGGAAGGGGTGGGAACGATGATGATGATGACTGCTGTCCAACTTGTATGACAAACAGATGTAATGAGAAAGGATTTTCTGACCTTTATGGATGACAAGTCAATACTTTCAGTCTAGTGGCATTGTTATGTATGTATCCCTTTGAAGGGTGTATTTTACTTAATGTCTTCTTGTCTGTTTCGATAGAGTATGTAACCATTTGTAACTTGCCTTTTTTGAATTCTGGTTCTTTTTTGTATTTAAATAACTCACATGATGGCAGGATGGGATTCCTAAAGTACAGGAAAGTTTGCAATGTAAAACATAGCAGATAGAGTAGATCGTGGTGTTTACAGAGCATGTTCCTTTGAGGTCACATGCTCGAATGTGACTCAGTGTTGTATCATCAGAATCTGTTAGTCTGTTGTGGTCGTTAAACTGACTCATTTTAGGCAGGCTGCTTTGTTCCCACCTTAGGAAGTCACAGTGCCAGTGAGCTGGCAGTCTTACCAGAACAGCAAAGGGAGCTTTTGTGAGCGCCCTGCAGTTCATAATTTTTCTATACATGTGATGAACTCTGGTTCCAGCTTATGCAGAACCATAGAATTTTATCTGCTAAAGACTTCAGACTGCTTCTTCAATAAAAAGCTGCTGTCACAAGTATACAACATAGGAATGTATGCATTAGCAAAGAAATGGAAGAGGAATAAGGATAAATACTTTTATATGTGAAGACTGTACTTCATTGATTAGAGTGGTAGAAGAAATTATCCATTTCTCTACAGTTGCAAGTTGTGAATTTAGAAACATGGGGCTAGAAAAGAACTTTTGATCATTGAGGCAGGTCCCTCAGAATCACAGTTCTTCTGTCCCCTGTTGGTGACAAACTGGCCAACAGAGTYGTAAAATACAGTTAAGACATTTTATGCTTGTTATTTGAAAACTGTTCTAGAAACTTGCTCTGTAATTTGAGGCCCTCTAACTTTCAGTTTTAAATGGGTGTTTGGCTATGCTTTATTTTGGTTCTAAAAACTTTTCATTTTTTGGTCCTAAAAACTTTTCCTAAAAGTTATTTGGTCTCTCAGGTATTTGAATCACCGGTGTATTTTTATTATAGGTTTCTTTTCTTCTAAGATACAGGAGCKTTCTAGTTGCCCTCCCTGTACCTGTTCATTTCAGAGTCTGTTCCTGGTCAGAGTTACCCAAACAGCATGTGTTCTGTCTGAGCCTTATAAAATGACATTAATAGCTGATAGCATCCCACATCTTGCCTTTTGCTCAACTGCATCATACTGTCAGACTGTTATCCTCCTGTGAGAAACAAATCCCTTCAGATGTGTCAGGTTGTTTTGCTCTCAAATGGCAAGCTCACAGTATGTAGCTGAAATTCTCATTTGCCCCAGGTGCATTACTCTGTGTCTGGTTATTTCACATCATCTCCTTTCTGCTTTTCCAGGCCTCAAATTTATGTAGTTTTGCTTGTCTGATGCTCCCTTTCCCTGAACTGAAAAACTACTTGTCAAAGATGCTATCTTGAGCACATTGCAAAGCTCAGCAGCTTGGGAGACAGTGCCTGGGAGCCARTGTTCAGGAAGACTTCACTCTCCTGAGGCAAACTGCAAAAATTACACTCTCTTTCATTTGCAAAAACACATGGCTGTTGAGTTCTTCTGGAGGTCTAATACTGTGTTCAAGGTTTGAAACCGTTATTAATCATGTTACACTGTTAAGAAAAGCATGGGGAATGATGATGATTATTATTTTCATTCAGGCCTTGGAACAGAATTTGCATAAAGGGTCCACTCTACAAACCGTGGAACCAGTGTTTGTTCTTGAGCTGTCTTATTGCAGTGCACAGTTCTGAATGTATGTGTAACTAATACTGAGTGTGTGYTCTTCCCTTGCAGGGAGGTAGTACAGGCAAATTGTGTCCGCTGGAAGAAAAAGTTCTTCTTTATGTGTAAAATCAGTGCCAGTGCCACAACAGGGATTCTGGATACTTGCACTTGCAGGGTGTCTGTACGGAAGGTAAGCAGCTTTCTTCTGCTCCTCTCGTCTTWCCTTGCTCTTTCTTCCCTTGTTCTAATTTTTGAATGTCTCATAAACATCATAAAACAAATCTTAGCTGCAATCACACCAGCTATTCCTTTAGTCAAAATTTTGTAGTAATGTTATTAATCACCTTACTTTGACTAATTCTTGGGGGTTTTACATTCTCTATGAAAAAAAGCTTTTTCATGCAGGGCAGCAAAGGAATTACTCCTCAGTGTTTATAAAGTTAGCTCTTGATTGATGCTTCCAGCAAGTAGCAGTAAGCTTAGAAACCTTGAACAGTGCTAAGTACCAGGATTTTGCACGCAACACGTTCTGCCTTTGGGGCCAGACCTTGTAAGAGCCAAATGCCAGCTGGCATCAGGCACTCACCCCTCTCTCTCCAAGATGAGTGTCTCACTGGCCTGCTCCAAAGGCATTATGAATATTAAGGTCCAAATGGCAACAAGATAACCCAGCAAATGTGCCGTGAGATGTTTTAAAATAAAGATTAGTATGTGCTTTTCTAAAAAAAAAACCAAAGAAAAATCCTGAGTCAGTATATTTAATGGCTTAATGGAGTGTCTTTTTTCCTTTTTTTTTTTCTAGGAATTAAAAGGTGGAAAGGCATATGCAAAGGTAAATTGAGATGTAGCTAATCTTGCCTACAGATAAGCTTTCTTTCTTGCCATTTTACGCCCTTCTAAAGTAATTCCAGAATAGTACTTAAAACTCATTATTTCATTATGTGTATTATAGAGACAAAGTGCTGTTGAAACTTTCAATCAGTGTGTTCAATAAGTATAGAACAATGTTATACCACCAAAACCTTTTTTCTTTGAAGTTGGTATGCAGAAAGTGTTAGTAAACACTTGCATTTACATTAGAWAATAAAGAAAACTCTCCTCATTCTTTTTTTTCTTTTGGCACTTTAAATTTTTAACTGAAAATAGAACATTAATGCTGAATTTTACACTTGAGGTTTGTTTTCTGCTCTTTGCCTCAGTCTATGCCCTTTAACAGGCATCCTCTTATTCATGTTCGAAAGAAACTGCTATTGAGTGGTACTCAGTGTGGTAATTAGCAAGTAGCTTCATTTCGCCAAAAGCTTAGTACTAACTTYGTCATTTTCTCTTAACAGCTGGGATTTGCAGATCTAAATCTAGCAGAGTTTGCTGGATCGGGAAATACCACTCGTCGATGTTTACTGGAAGGTTATGATACCAAAAATACAAGACAAGACAACTCCATTCTCAAAGTAATTTCTCTCCTTTATCATACTTAAAGCAATAAAGCAGAGAACAAATGGTATTACTAAGCACTTAATGGAATTTAAAACTTATTTGTGAACCTCTCTCTGGAAGGAAAGCTATTAAAAGTAAAATGGAAAGTGTTGTTTAGACACAATCATTAAAATCCACACAGGATAGGATTTGTCCTACTCTGAAATGGAGCTGGATAGCTGTAAAAGAAAAGCTTTCAGTAAGTGCTCCTAGTCTAAGGAAACTGAAAAATGAACAAGTCAGTATTTGATATCTTCAAGACTGGGCAACTTTCTGTGCATCTTTCTGAGAGTGAATCTCTTAATTGGCTTATTTATGGCTTAATTATAAGCCACCTTTAATACCTCCATGACTCTTGGGCCTTTCCTGTTTTCTATTTGATAGTAATCATTGTCACAGTTGGTGAGAATTCTTGCAWGAAACCCATTCTGACATTCTCTTCCATTAGTCCAGGGAGTTAAAAAAACTGAACAAGCTCCATAAATCTGAAAAGAATTCCATAGAGAATGTTTCAGATAATTAAAAGAAAATCTTTTCCTACTGACTCATTGAGATCAATTTCCCACATTATTCAGTATACAGTCAATGCACTTTGTGATCTCTCTGGGAGTCACTCTGTGTCCAGAACACTTGTAACTGATGGCTTTGACCTGGCTCACAAGCCTTCCATGCACTGTGTCCTATGGCTTATTTACCGTGTGGTTTTGCTGCGTCTCTGATGTTAGCACAACCTGTCCTGAGAGCCAGCGGTTTACGAACACCCTCAGCAAAGAACATTCTTCAGCACCCCCTGGTCTAAATAAATGTTCTRTTTGCTCATTCAGGTTTTAGAGTTCTTGACTCTGTTTTTCCCGTGAAGCCTTCTTAATTATTAATAAGTTTAAGATTCTCTTTGATGTATGTGTCTTTTTTAGAATCTTGTATGCGTAGCTATGTTACTTTAAATGGTATTTTTTGTTGTTTGTATGTTTACTTAAGAAAAAATGTATGTTTTTTTGCATAAGTTTATTTGCATGTGTGATGACAGCATTTTATTTTCCTTAATGTAACATTTGTGGCAAATATAACTTGGTTACCATGTATGTGTCACAGACCAATTCAAATTCTTTTCTTTCTGATGGTTGATTTTTTTTTTTTCTTAATGTGTAGGTTTTGATCAACATGCAACTGATGTCTGGAGACCCGTGCTTTAAAACGTAAGTTTGTAAAAAACTCTGTGGGATCTGCTTTGATCATACATTCCATGTTGAGAATTTGTGTTTTAACATCTCTCCATTCTGGCAATAGCATTTTTTTAAAAAGGCRCAAAAAATGGAATGGTAGCTGAATAATGACTAACATGGTAAAATTGCCAGAAGTGTCATAGTTCTTCTTCTGTTAGATTCTTAGTATCAAGCACAGAGTACTCTCCAGTACATCTGTAATGTAAAGAAAAATCACTTCAAGGAAATTGTTTCCGCAGCAACCATAGATAAACATACTTGGTACAGGATGATCTGACTAATACTTGTGTCTGGAAAATGTGGTGCTATACCTTTTATTCTCAAGTCTCAGATGATTTTAAAATATTCATTTCCAAGCAAAAACCCCAAGAACATAACAGAAGTGTGATAATGACTTAGTACAAGAGAAAGCACTTACAGGTATTCAGTCAGCACAGACATTATGCAACTCAGTAAAAGATGCGAGAGGTAACACTTGAGGGGGCAGGTAGCTGGAGGAATTCACTGCAATACACTGAGGATCCTTTGGCCTCATTGTCCTTAATGTGTAGTTAAGGAAGCGTAATAGTTTTGCTCTCTTTTGTACCAGTCTGGCTTTGGTGATTCACCACAGAACTCTTCAATATCCCCTTGCAGCACTAAAGGCCCTTTCTCCTCTGTTCTACTAACCTTTAATGAGAAGAATAGAACACTGCAGAATCTCATCTTGTGCTTACTGAATAAATAACGAGGGTATTATCTGAATTTGTTTGATTGGGCAAAACTTTTCTGTATCCCTAGCTACTTTGTACCTCTTTTTCTTCAGAACAACTTCAGYAAATTTACTTTAGAGTCAGACCTACTAACAAATACATGACTGGTACTGATAAACAATTCCTCAAAGGCAACTAATCATTAGTCTTGGATACTAACAAAGCAATACTGCCTARTACTGAAGGAGTTGAAATTAGTACTTATAGCTTTCTGGATCCCTAGGAAAAAATCTCTAACTCAAATTATTCAGACTTGGCATTTTCTTCCAAACTGGTGATATAACTATTTCCTGGAACATAAACTTTCAACACAAACAGAACAAAGAATTTATCTAATCCAGATGTCCTTTGTAGAAGGAAAAATAAACCTTAAAACAGTTTCACAATCTGGAATCAACTACATATTTTATGAAGAAGCCTAGAAGGCTTGATGTTTGATCTGGGATGAAACCATTCAGTTCTTGCTTTCAAAAATGTYATGCAGTTGAGTCACACAGGCACTGTATTTCTACAAGTGCTTTTTTCTTTTTCTCTTTACCTTCAATCATAACCTAAGAGGAGACATGTCACTCTACATGAAGACAGTGACTAATTTATCAAATATGTCAAATCTAAAAATGTCAACAAATACCCATTTGTATGCAGACCAACAGTCTGTTTCCAAAACAGAAAATAACAAAGCATTAAAAAAAAACTTTAGGTAACATCTTGAAATGCATTTTGGTTGTATTTGCTTGCAAGAGATTGCTTGCACTGTGTCATTTTCTAATTAGTTTCTTCTCACTAGCAAAATACAAACTAAGAGGTTTATTAATTTGATAAAATCTCCCTTTKGGTCTTGTTATTAACTCAAACACTWTAGCTTTATTAAAAGGTTTTTAATTTTGAACTAAAATTTAAATWATGTCATACATGATGCTTTTTTGTTTTGTAGGAGGTAAAATTTGGAGGACAATACATGGAGGTGGTGCCATAGGCCCCCTTACTAGGAGTCGGGAGGGTTRTCAGCCCAGAATCATCTCCTTTTCTAGGACAGAGATAAAATAAAACCAGGAATACATCACAGCACACAAACCAACCTGGCTAATTTTGTGTATGTTGGGATTCTTTTCAATTTACCACATTTTCATGTATCCCATCAAGTACTACACTACATATATTCTTAGCATGTAAGCTGTCCTGTGATTCATACATTTAAAAAATATGAAAGAACTTCAAATTAAAGGCATGTCATTCCACCAATCATCAGAAATGGAAAAGCTTTCCCCAGGATCCCCAGAAGCCTGAGGGCTGAGCAGATGGATTCTGCAAAATATCTTTAAGCTCAACAGGAAAAGGTTCTTTTATTTTTTCATTTTCTTCAGCAGGGGACTAGGCAGCAGGTTTTTGGAAAAGAACTGTAGGTCTGTTAACTTGATGCACAGTATGAATTATGCCCACTTATTTGAAAGGAAAACAATGTGCTGATCACTTTGGAGGGATTACAACAGAAGTACAGCAAATCTTAACCACCTTTTTCTTACAGGCCTCCTTCCACAGCAACATCTATAGCAATTGCTGGAGAATCAGAGTCTTTACATGAAGACAGGAAAGGTGGAGAAAACTTCAAAGTAGCACATCTGGGTGTAGCAGGTATAGAATAATGTTCTTAAATTTTCAGTRCTTTCATAAATGGCCTCAYAGTTTCAAGGAGAKGTACAAAATACTTCAGATCTYAAARGGATGCTGACAGCTGGCCCACAAAGGARCCTTCTTACACGACTTATGAGTTTCTAAYTGAAACACTGTTGAAGTTTTGAAGCAGGTTAGTTTTTCAGRCAGAAAGTATCTGGCACAACATTGTTCYATGATAYTGGAGAAAGCAYGGTCATCTCTTAATATTGACACTAGACAAATCTACAACTAAATTTCATACAAATCTTTCTAACCCAWTGGTACTCTSTGTTTTGCTCAGATACATATTATGACTTTTATTTTTTTAAAGAATGTATATGCATTAACATACATGGTATTTTTACGGCACTTGAATCTCCAAAAGCTTCATTGAAAACCAGTGTCAAGTTTCTAATCCCTCTGGAAAATCTGACTTTTCAATCTAATCAAGATTACAGACAAAGTAGCAATAAAGTTGGTTTTAGGAACACTGTCTGTCTTGCACATGTTGCAGATGTCTCATCAAAGAGTGCCTCGGTCCCAGATGAACTTGGTGCATGTGGACATTCCAGAACATCAAGCTATGCAAGTCAGCAATCAAAACTGTCAGGTAGCTGTTCACAAKTCTGTTACAAGTTCTTGGGGGTTATTGTTCTTTCACAGGTTTAGATAGTAGYGATTAAGTTTACTTCATGTTTTGAAAAAGGTTTGGGCTGAAAGCTTTTTCCTAGAAGTTTCAGGTGTGGTGAGGGTAACATTTTTTTCCTCTTAAAAAATCACACTGGATTATCTCATCAGATGTGAGACAGCTTTTTGCTTTCATTCTCTCCAATTAGCATATCTGAATGAGATTTTTACCTCTTCTCTGAGTAAAAAAAATGGAGACTTAGCTCTAAAAGCTGAAGGGGATGATATTGGTATTATGTTTGTTATGATATAAATAAGAATTACTTAGAACCAAAAGAAAATGGCACGTGCTAGAATGCAAAACCTGAAGTCAGTTGTCTAGTTGATGTATGCTCAAAGGGCTTTTGAAGTCCTTTTATAAGAAGACAAAACACAAATTMTGCTTTCAAGATGGACCTGGCCTTTCAAGAACATACCTAACCCATCTCTACTGCATTTTCCCAACAGGATATAGCACATGTCACTCTAGATCATCCAGTCTGTCTGAACTCTGCCACAGGAGAAACACCTCAGTGGGGAGTACCTCAGTGGGAAGCATCTCAACAGGAACTGGAAGTATTCTAGAGCCATGTGAAGAGACTGAGCCAAAAATAACGGAAGCTAATATTGATACATCTACTGAAGATGTACAATCAGAAAAACAATGCMGGTACATTTAATCTGAAAGCTTTATCTAGCACAACTAGATTACTTTATCATGTCTAAGAGCTCTAAATGTATTTATTTTTGCAGACATCCTGTAAAGCAAGACTCAGTGGAGTCACAGCTGAAGAGGGTTGATGCTACCAGAGTTGAYGCTGATGATATAGTTGAAAAAATACTCCAGAGTCAAGACTTCAGTTTAGACTCAAGTGCAGAAGGTATGGAGATAAGTAAGAAAACTTGAGGAAAATTGATGTACATTGCAGGCCTTAAGAAAACCTACTCTCTTCACAGTCCCTGTTGTTTGTATTCATAAGGACTGTGCAGATGGATCACTACATTTTCTGYTGCATCTTGTTTACCAGAAGTTGAAAATACCCTTACCTGATTCAGGGGGCTTTCCAGATCATTACTTTTAGCCTAGAAGAGCATGTGCTAATCTATGATAAGGTAGTTYCTCCAAACTACACCATGTCCGAGTTGGTTCTTCATTACTTAAAGTATGCATCTGAAAGTGTCAGCTACAAAATTGGTGGATTTTAAATTATTTAGATTTAGCTAGGGCAAGATTAAAGAATGCTAACATACTTTAATTCATTTGCCTTTTAGAAGAAGGTCTAAGATTATTTGTGGGSCCTGGTGGAAGCACTTCTTTTGGAAGCCACCATCTACCTAACAGGTATGTAGCCTGAAAACTAATCATAGGCAATACTAAATAAAAATGCATCTTATACAGCAACTATTCGGTATCTACGTTCTTGATCTTTGTATCTTTCTATTCTGTATCATTTAAAAGCACCAAAAGAGCTAGACTGCCAGGTTTTAAAAGTTTAGTTCCAAAACTGAACTGATGTATCAGCCATAAGAATTGCAACTTTCACAGCTTCTGAAGAGTCTCAGTTCCAAAGATACGAGCAACATTTCAGTATGGATATAGGAAATGGACACCAGTTTCCATCTGAGCTCTACAGCCTTACTAGGTTACCCTGGAGTGGGAAGAAAATTTTAAGTGTTTTACACATCTGCCTTAATGGTATCAAACTGTTATGTCTTCCTGATAACAAGCCTAATTTTCTCCAGTTTAGTTTTCCTTTCAAATCCCGTTTGCATTTGTTACATTATTTGTTTGAATGGTTTGTTCATCTTTCAACTATTTGCAGCCCTRAACACTTTGCTTTGATAATCTGCTTCAGATTATCTTGTAGTTTAGAACCAAAGGCATTTTTTCTTCTCTAAACCCTCTTCAAGTAGTCTGATATATGAGTTGACCTGAATGTGTTAATCTTCAGATGAGAGAGCATGAAAACCAGGCAAGAATATGCTCTGTGTTTCTGCAGTCCAATGTAACTCAATATTTTTAGCTCAAGAAATTAGAATAGCCTCAGTATTTCAGCAATTACTTATGAATTTGGGTATAAAGGCAGCTGATAATATAATGAAGGTCAAAAAAATAATTGCATTTTACATGTGCACACAGTACTAATGGTTAAAAGATGCTTCGTTGACTTAGCTGCAAACTGGGCACACCAAAGTCTGTCTAGGATCACATGAATGGTTACAGAACACACTCCTTTAGCATAGAGAGATCTGTCCTAATGCAGTTGCCAGAACAGTCCAGGCACAATACTAGACTAATGCAGAGCCTGCCCTGTAAATTTTTTACATWGTACTGCAATTTGCTGTGGAAAACCACCTAGTGTGGACTGTCATGTGAGAGGTGAGAGTTTTGTTTACAATTCAGCATGGACAAAAGACTGAGAACATTTTTCTTGTATCTTAACATAAGGTGATGATCACTTACTGGGATTTTTTAGATACATTTATCTGTTTACCTATATATACATGTAAAAAGTATCAGCTGTATATGATACAGCTGTGGGGGAGGGTTACCATAAAGTTGATGTTTAAAGAAATTCTAGTGAAGTCCAACAGTAACTTCTTGTTCAGTAAAATTGCTTTTCTTTCATTTTTACTGTAGTACAACAAAATCTCTTTAATGCATTAGACTCTAGGTGACTTCATGGCATGGTAATAATGAATGTTTCTTACCCTTCACATTTAGCTGGTTTGGTATTTGCTGTTTGGTCGGGGAGGTTTTGTTGGGATTTTTTTTTGGGAGGGCTGTTGGTTGGTTGGCTTGCTGATTTGTGATACTTACTATTTAGCTTCCATTTAAATTGACATTGAAATAACTTTTTTCAAACTTTCAGAGTAGGATCTGGAGCATACGAGCAGGTGGTGATAAAACGTTAAACTAGAATATCAAACAAGGAAAACTTGGAACTCGTGTTGATACTTCTGGTATTGTTTGCTCTGTTGCAAGAGCTGAGAAAGACAAAATGAACTCAATGTGATCTTTTTCTGGAAAATAATGGAATGCCTCTTGCTCGTAGAGCATCATCTTCTGTGGTATGAAGGCAATGTTTAGCTGTGTATACCTTGTGAGAGCACTTGGACTGTTTTTGTAAGCTCTGTCTGATGTTAGTGAAATTACTTCATTTCTGTGAAACATCTGTGGAAGCATGATGAAGCAAGTCCCATTTCACTATTTTATATAAGAGATCACTTGTGGTGATGGACTTTGTTTGTAATATCTTTTCTAAAGAAACTCCTGAAAGTTGTTCTTAAAATAACCTGCATAATGTAATTACTCAATTTGATCCTACATGCCATTTTRGTTTTACAGAACTTAATTACTCCCATCAATTTAGTTTYTAYCAGATCAAAATTAYAGCCTCCAAAAAACAGCCCAGCTAYGTTTAACATCTCCAAAACCTTCTCTTAATTAAGAGTACTGAGTACAACTTCATTGTAAGATTCAACCAAAGAGGTGAACTTCACAAACAAGCCCCCAAAACTAAATAGATCTAAACCAGCCATTAATTAGTTGTGGTAACTATAGATTAAGTTTACAGGTTTAAATGTATCATGTGACTTTTTTTTGGACTAGTGATGAAAAAAGTGGGATTCCACATCAAGACACTAAGGYACAGCATTGTGTTACCAAGAAAGCTGCCTTGATTGTTAACCTGAASTTCAGCAGCTGCTCCCACAGAAACTCACTTTGATAATGCATGAACATTGAGATTCAATGGGATGGTACTGTTTACAAACCTAGTCAGTAGTTTACTACCACTTAATTTTTTTTTTATTGTAGTTCAATCCTTCCTAGTCAGTGCTTTGCTTGTGTTTTGAATGTGCCTTGCGGGATTGGGGGTGTACAGGGAGATTAAACAATTTACTAAGGAATTTAAGCTTTAAAACTAGGTAAACATCTATACTATTATTAATATAACTTGTTGAGAGAAGCACTTTATTGTAGACATGCTCTGCACACTGAGAAAGTCTTAGTGTGCAACAGCTTTTTTGAACACTTCCTTTGCTATCTGTCCACTGTTACATTAGGTCAATGTACTGTATTTAAATTTGCACAAGTAGCAATTTGCCTGATGGGCAAGAAAGAGCTCTTTAAATTTTCACCGAGAATATGGAAGAATCCATTTTTAAAGGGATGTGTTAGGTGACAAATAGGTATAACTAATTGTGAACTGCAAATAAATTTTTTTACCTTTTGTGGTACTGTTTATCAGTTAAGGCTTGGAATAAGTAAAAGTAGTGTGGYCACTTTTGAAAGCTCAGAATGCTTCAAATTTTGCTCAGAGCAATGTCTGACACCTTTTTATTGATATAAAAGTAGGCCATATTTAATAGATTAAATTAGGAAAAGCAGACTTTATTTTCCAGAAATCTGCAGTAGAATTATTCAATTTTTATTTGTATTTTWAAGGAAATTTCAGATTTTAAAGCTACAGTACTGTTATTGAATAAGATGAATATGAGCTATTTCTCGGTTTTGGTACTTGCATACTTTTATTTCTACTGTTAATTATAATCTCTTTAAAGTATCTAATTAGGTAAAAGAATTAATACACAGATTCTATTTTAGCTGCTGTTAATAAACGTGTGGTATTACCAGTTTCTGTTCTCTGCAGGATTTTAAACAGAAACTACTCAAACTGCTGGTATACAACTATCTCTCAGAACATTATAGTTTTCTTTCCTGTTATATAACTAATTCATAACAAAAAAAAAATCCCATTTTAAGCAAAAGATGCCAGAAATTTGAATATATTTTTTGTTTTCAGTACTCTTTTAACATTGCTATACTTGTTGACAGATCTATTAAAACCAGTACTAGTTAAATGGTAGTTTACTTACATTTACTAGGAAAATTACAAATAGTTTGAGGAAAAGAGACTTTTAAAAAACACTGTACAGCTTATTATTATTACTTATGTAATTCTCAAGGGAATTTCCACAGCCCATTGCATTTTATGTTAAACAACAGGTAATTGTCACAGATTAGATATTTTGTTTAGTAGAAACAGTATTTTTTTTGCCTGAGCAGATCTTTTAAACAGTAGGGAAGTTGACAGAGAAATCCAGCTTTTCATAAAACTGTATCCTAGTAATTTATTCTTCTGGCTTGACTTACAACTCTTGAGGAAGTGATTTCCATTTCAGTGGAACATAACCTTCACATTTAGGTGTTGGATTTTCCTTTCTGTAAACTGTGTTATGTGAATATCAGAGACTGCCATGTTGTAAACTGTTTGGSATGTGTTGGTGGAGTATGGGGTTTTTTAACTGTATTTAAATACAAATGTCTCAGACATTCAATAAACTCATGTCTTCAGCTTGGAATCTGTTCCTAAACAATTGTCTCTTTTTTTAATGCAAAAAAAAAGACAAACTTAACTGGCAATTAGAGTCCATTTAAGTGTCTCTTCCAGTTAAGGACTTCTTTTTTGAATGCTTTGCTTTCTTCTGCTTCTGTGTTTTCACACAGTTTTACTGACATCTGTATTATCTGTAAAATGTGTTATTTAGATTTTCTTTTTCTAATCAAGAAGGAAAATTTTTAATTTTTAGCATTGATCAGAAATGTTCTGTTCTACTATTCTGACCATAATCAAACAAGAGCTATCACCTTATTTCCCTTATAAGCAGGATACTGCGCTCTTTTCTTGATGGTGGCATGGGAGGTTTTTTTTTTTTATTGTGTTGTGGGGTTTTGTTCTTGTTAAATTTTTTCCATCTACTCTATTTGGATTTTACAGTTTCAAACAACAGCTGCACATGAAAACAGAAAATTTTTCAGACACACCAGAGCCAGGTTCACAATTACAGCAGTTCTTTAATTTTTTTTAAATTTTTCTCTTTTTTTCCAAAAACAGAACCAAGTTTCATATTTCAATTCAGCTGGAACAACATTTGGTTTTCGAGGCTGAGTATGTATTCATCTTGAAAAAGGCATCTATAAATTCTATAGAAAATAAGAAAAAACTTGCCCTAAACCTATGTCTGACTCACATTATTGGCCACAACACAGTAGATGATAAAACAAACTATCCTTGAAGCTAACAAGACAGTACCAAAAATAATCTAGTAATGATAGCTACAATAAGGCAATAGAAAGTAAACAAATACTTAATTTTCTTCATGGGAACTAATTATTTCCTTTTAGCCCCTGATAGTCTACTTGAAACCCCTTTAAGTTACTATTATCTWTGTCAGAAGCACTCACCTTCACTCAGTGTGAGGTGCTGACAGATAAATACCACCGATGGAAGATTTAGGAAAGATTTTGTGGTCTAGTTTGCATACAGAAGATACCATTTAACAGCTTCTAAAAAAACCCATTTTCATTACTTTCACTGAACTTTGTATGAGAAATCTGTGACCTAATTTTCTTCATTTTCATGCTCAATATTCAACATCACAGCAGAACCATCATTGCTCAGTGTGACCTTGCCAGCAATAAGCTTGCACAACTTCTCAAAGGTACCACAAAGTCGATTCACTTTGGGAAAGGAAAAGATGGTTGCAAGAGGTATGTGAACCTCATTTCCACTGACAAAAGATTCCAYGTTCTTTTCAACAACCAGTTTTCCAAGATAGTCTGAAAAACGGTTCACTGAAGGTTGGAATTTGGATTTTCTCTCAGGATCATCACCATACTCCTCACGTTTTAACATTATACGGTGCTTAATGATTTGGGCTGTGAAAATAACTTCACTGATCACTGCATTCTGCAAGTACTTCTCATCTTTAAGACTTGGGTACACTGCTTTGAAGACCTTTACAACATAGAAGAATAATAGCATGTTTACCACTAACACAAGCTCAGATTTGAACATTTGCTGTCCAAAAAAAGCTTCTAAAATACGAATATAGTTTTTTTATTCAATCCAGTTTTGCTTATTCAACATTTTCACATAGCAGAAAAAACAGGCAACATGAGTTGGTTTTCTGTATTACAACCACCACTGGTAGTTAATGGTACTCAAAAAAAACCACCCCAAAACCCAATAGGCTATACCTGCAAGCTACCCTTGGAGATCAGGCAAGCTAAAGACTTGCAACTTTTGACTTCTTTTTAATAATTCTCTTACTTTTCACYTTACTTATCATGAGATTCTGGGGACAGTTCCATAGTGATGGGAGATTATAAATTACTTTTGAACTGTCATCTGGAAACCAAGACTATAGCATATCATTTATTGTTTTCAGAGTATAACATTAAATATGCTTTCAGCTGAATGCTGAAAATAAATTGTGCCATAAAAATCTGTGAACTTGTAGTATGTTCTACACTGAGCTATACTCGAGGCAATTAAGGAAACTAGGCAGGCAATCTCATTCCCACCAGTTTACTAGGAAGTGCTTTACACCAACATGCTACCTGTCAAATTCCACTGTCTATAATGATTTCTTACTTTCYAAATACATCTTGAAATGTTAATTTATTGCTATAAATCAGTTGCCTAATAAAAACTAACTTGATAAGAAATACAACATTAACACTGTTGTTTAGACTCTAAGGATACCAATGTCAAAACTCTCTCCAAAATGCCCCTGTAACAGGAGATAATGAAGCAGTTTCTAGTACATGTCTGTCATCCAGATGTATTTCCATGTTTGTTGAGCATTAGAGAGCACTTCATGATTCTATTAATGRCAGTAGATGACAGGTGACACTTCACATGCATGGAAATTTCAAATTCTTAAATTACAAACGTTTTTATAGCTTGGAAACCATAGAAGATACACTCATAATGTCACTTTACATTTCAGTTCAGGTCACAAGTAATTTGAAGATATTTATATATATTTTTTATACAAGGAACTGAAATCAGAGTTCATGAAATATCAAGGAGCTGAAATATCAGAGTTCATGAAATGTTCACTGAAACAAATAATTTAAGGCCTCATAAAACTGAAAGAATCCCCAAGAGTGTATTTATTTTTGCATTATTACTTCATGTCAACTCTGAAAGAAGTGTTATTTATACGACATGGCATTTAGTTAGAAATGCTTTCTAAAAATTTTTTATGTATCTGAAAAATCTGTGTCACTGCCAACAGCTACATAATAAATAAAATTAATGACTAGAGGAAAAATAGTATAGCTGACAGAAAGGAAAAATTTCATTCTAAGGACAGGAGTATCGAAAGATGATTATCCACATTGTTAGCAAGTACTCTAAAAGTTAAAGGCTTCTGTACAGGTGGAAACACAAATCAAAGAATGAAACTCTCTTGTTCTGATGACAATCAGAGAGAAGACTGGATGGTAGCAGAAGTCTATGGTAACAACACTTCACAGGCACTCACAAACAATTTCACTCTTTACTCATACCTCTAAAGGAAGAAAAGAATACTTACTGTGAAAATAATACTTACCGTTTTGTAAGCTGCTTCAGTGGGTTTCTCAGACTGACCAGKTTGAGGACATTTTCTAATAAACACACCTATTTGGGTACAAAACCCAACCTTCTCCATTCCTGTTGGTGGGTGCCCTACACCAGTAAATTCCACTGAGTAATCATAGCATCTAGCAGTCTCCAGAGCCCTAAGAAAGACAAATTATTCCAATTATATGAAATATTCATCTTTCCATGTGATAAAGATKCATTCTTAAGGAGAAGCAAGACGCTAAGGCTGTGAATGCTTGAACRTAATTTCTCTAACAGTACTGCCATGCCTGAAGCACTGTCAAAGCTTGTTGTATCAGAGCTGTAATATGCCTACCACAATCATTTAGTATCAGTAATTTAGCCATCCAAACATTAATGTTTCTTCTAAAATATGTGCACAGAATGTTAACGCTCAGTTGCTTAGTCACCAACTTGGGAGTCAGCTAAAAACTACTGATTTTTAAGAACAMAATTATTTGAGAAGAACCCATAAAAAACATACACATTCCTATATCACAGTTAATAGAGAAAGTGGGGTTTGTTATATAAAGAGTTAAGTCTACCTTATCAAGGTTACAAGAGTGTATATAACATCTAAATGAAAACCATCTTGTAGTACATCAGCCAGCATGAACAAAGAGATGGGGCAAGGAATCAAAACTGGACTACTTACCTGCAWCATTCTCAATGAAAAAGAAGTAAACTAAATTAAGATCTCAAGTATTTTTGAGAATATTGTAGTACTTGTATTTCACAATACAAAGGCTTTCTCATGTTTACAGCTGAAAACCCCCCACTTCCTTCAGTGACATCAACATTTTTAATTGACATCTACCTAAAAGCAAAATCTAAATACTTGAAGTAATAGAAATTGTCTCTAAGGTATTCTGATGTAGCTAGCAACAGGCAGGTTTTAGTGTCATATATGGATAAATACATGCTTCCAGCTTTGCAAAACTATGTAATCAAAAATCACTGGTTTAAAATGTATAGCAGAAACAACATAGTTTAAGGGGCAAAATTTCCAAGATAGACACACCAAGAGTTGGCTKTTGAGGCATGGCATTGTTTACTGTACCATATATTTTCTCCCACAATTGCTTGACAGCTGAATGTTACCACACAATCCCATTCCCTCTTTATTTTATTTTCATTACATTACTGATGTTAAGGATATGATAGATCTCATATAATGCTATGTCATGTGCATATGATTTGCATAAAATCTTTCATTGTGCCATGATCCATTAAATTATCCTTACTTCTTGGATTTTATGAATACTTTCTATAGCAGGGTATTATGCAAAAAGGTTAATTGATACCTTACACTTCAACTGAGTTAGCTGTAGCAAAGATATATAAAAAGTAAGTAAAAGTTTTATATCTCTTTTGAGGAGCAGTTACAGTAAAAACCACCGTCATAAAATACAAAATCCACAGAATATGTTTAACTGCTCTCAACAGCAAAGAAATCACTAAATCAAGAGATGACACTTCATTAGTAGCAAACCACATACGTGAACCACTCTGAAAATGCACAGCTGTATRTTTCTCACACTACTGGGCACCCAGAACTGTCAGCATATGATGTTCAGTGCCTTACCAGCTTTGAAATTGTGCTTGGTTCCACTCAAATTTGTGGTCTGGATGCCTGTATACTATCACTCCTGGAAACAAAGGGTTAAATTCAGCATTTGGAGTGCTGATCACAACTATGCTTGGAGCCATGAAACCAAACACCACTTCRGGAAACTTCTCCAGCTCTGATTCTTCAAGGTGTTCTATTCTGAAAAGCATAAGATGATGTCTCTGTTTAAAAACACCCAACTATAATCTTAACAACCAGTTAAAAAAAACCCCACACTCAAATCTGTAACTTAYAATTTTACACACAGCTCTGCAATATGAGCAATGGCACTGTGGCCAAGTGGCGGCAGAGTTTTTTGCSCAAGCAAATATCTTCTTGCATTTTCTATTTTGTCATGAGTATCCTCTTCCCACAAAAAGCACTACTTGAATTGCTTAGTATGGTTAATTTAAACACAAGTCAGAAGACACCACCCTTCAACTTTTTACTTTTTTAATTCCACTCTTCTGCTTGAAAGCTTTGATCAAGTCTGTTTGCAGTATGGACAAAATTCCAAACTCAGCTCYAATGAACTTAGAAAAATGTTTCATGCTGTCTTAATACTCACAGTTCAATACATGTCACCAAGTCAAAACCAAGCATGCAAGGATCTTTATGAGCAACTGAACCATGATGCAAGGTAACAGTTAGGGATCTTTCAGATGGTTGCAAATAATCAACAGGAAGAGGAGACAGTGTATGCCTACAAAAGTATTAAAAACATGATGTTACAGAAAAGACCTTAAGACAAGATAAATTGTGCATTGAAATGAACTAGCTAACACCCCACATAGATACTTCCTAAGTCTCAAACAGATTAACAACTTTACATGAATATAAAACAGAGAATGTAATACAAATACTTCTTGTAACTACCTACAACAGGATAGAAAGAGTAGAAGTTAATCCAGAAATTTTCCTGTGTTTACAAAAATTTCCATTATACTCTCAACTCACTTGGAAAGAAAGCCACCGGTAAATTTCAATTCCAGACACACAGTAAGTCTGGCTTAGACAAGCTTTGCAGGGTTTTAGGGAGTTTTAGACAAGCATATTACCTATTTTTTCCAAGTAAAATACACAGAGAAACCAAAGCACATGTGCAAATTTCATTCTAAAATACTGCACTAGACAAAACACACAATAAATATTAACYATAAAAGGTTACTTCTCTTCATTCTTGAGAAAGAGCAAAAGGAACATCAGCATCTRGATCCTACATATTCACTGAAATTGTATTAACCAGCTTCCCAGAACCCTATGTTTATCAATCTGACCACTGCTTCAAAGATCAAAAAAAACCTCTAATTTTAGAGGCTTCTAAACCAGACAGCACACACTGAGCTAACCTTCCTATTTCAAAATGAACAAGAGCAAGACCCCGTCATGGTGACTAAGTTATATGCACATTTCAAAAAGGTCAAAACTGATCTTTCTGAAGACAAATGTCACATATAAGCATAAGCAGATCATGCATTAGTGCCTTTCCAAACAGCGTATTTCTCACACACGCACACCTTGAGGCCCTCTCCATGACCCAGACCTTTGGCTGCATTAGGTGATGTTACATTTTCTCTCCCTGTCCAACTGAGGAGCAATGGAGCAGCTTTTGTTGAGTTCCAGGCCTCCAGCCAAGGTGAACCCACCACACCACTAGGTCAAGACAAATAMAAACCTCAAAACAATCAAACAACTTACATTTTCTCTTTCATYACACTTGCGCAGATATCTAGCCCAGCTAACACTTCAATGCAGCTGCAGAATTTCAGCATCCGGAGAAGGCTGCAATCAGCACATCCTAAATCTGCCACCTGTGGATTAGGTATTAAACAATATGTAAATGTTATATATTTCTAACTAATTCCTGAGACTTTCATAAAACCAAAATGACATGCTTATGTCAAAAATAACTTTGTAATGACAAAGCATTTCACAACCATAACTAACACTTAGAGCTGCAAGCAAGCAGGATAGATGCAGATTTGAAAATTCTTTTTAAAAATATATATATGAAGATCCTGCATTTTTTTTTTTAAAGAATTAACCTTTTGTTAYTACAGCTACAAACAAGTACATGTAGGACATCCCACTGAATCTGGAGAATGTCTTCCACATGAATAACAGTAAGGTATGACTTTAAGTWTCAAAGCTGCAGGAATTTTCATGTTCACCACTGATTTTCACTGGGCTGTTCTCCCTCCAAAACACTGAGAAGAGGTTAACCAGCAGCCAAGTTAGCAGCAAAGAATCTGCATAAAAAAAGTTAACAGGCTCAGTTTAATGTTTCAGTGGGGAACTCTGGGGATATTCAGATGCAAAGTCAAATAATAGCTRTTCTTTCCTGTAAGCTAGAGATAGCTGACTATATAAACCAGCCCCCACGGTTCTTTCTCAAACTCAGTCAAGGCTGAAGCACACAGCTGCTCTCCGTGTAAAAATCCTGAGGTGTTTAGATCCAGCTTATCTATCCACTGTGTAAACGCAAAGTTTAGCCTCCCATCCCTTCCACACCTAAAATCAGAAAATTCAGACCTTTATACAGAGATGCAACATACATTCCATTTGAAAGCAGATTGCAGTGCCATGACCTCACAGATTGGATTAGATTTTTATTGGCTACTAGAAGTATGATTACTTAAGAGCACTGCAGGTAAATCATTTTCTTGCATGCCMCCAAAGACATTAAAATCAGTTTAAGGGTTAAACACTGCAGACTTGGGAAGATCTTCTGGGGAAGGAAGTGGGGGGACACATTGGAAGATAGCAAACACTACAGAATGCTACTTAGATAACTGAACTTCTCACAGTGAGTAGTGAAACGAGTTCTGGTTGGGGGGAACATACATGACAACACAGGTGGAGGGTCACAAGACCTTAAGAAAGTGGAGATSAGTTAGGCTCATGTAATCCCATATTCTCAATGTCACTTCTCATCTGAAACTACCCATGCAAATGATGAGGTAAACCTGATATCCTACRCAGCACTAACAACACTGGAGAGCAAAATCCAACTAGGATGAAAGCAGCTTGAACTGAACACCAGAATACCCCTACTCTCTGAAACAAGTCTAAGACATTTTTCTTGTTTAAATATTCTCCTCTTCCCATCACATAACATTAATTATATGCAGTCCTGAAAAACAACATATCATGAGGTGTCTTCTAAGGCCATTCCATTTTAACAATTCCTCCATTACTGTTGTTTGGTAAATAGGACAACAGGTTATTTATGCATTTCTTCTTCCTGAAGTACCAAATGTCAACTTACTTTCAAGTTTATAACCTAAAGAGACAAAACATACCAACCTTCTTAGGTTTGTATTTCTCCACTAAATCTTTAACGAACTGGTGGCGTTGTTTGTGCAAAGGAGGTGTAAATTTAATAATTTGTGTAAACTCTTCTTCTTGAAAGCTCTTATCCATAATATTTTGGTAATGCTAAAATAAAAAAAGTTAACTCTTATTTTCTGAAGCACTTCATAACATTGTAACATCCAATTACAGAGTCTGCTGTTTTCAGAGCTGTTTGAGTCCCAATTAAGCAGGGGTACACCTGATCTGAGTTCTATTCAAACAATGAATAAAACATTGGGATTAGCAGGAGTAGGCTGTTCTCTCCACATACAATGATGTAAATAACCTTATGTAAACAATTATAAACTATACACAAACCTAAAAAAGCAAAGTTCATAATCTGTCACCCTCCATCCAGCACACCTAGACAGAGACTAAACCAAACACTACAACCCAAGCAGCTAGGCCAAGCCTGCACACGACTTCATTGCCCTACAAGGTCTTTTACACATAAATTAAAAAATGTATTTTTGTGTACATATATATACACCCAAAACCCGGCTCGAGGTTCAGCCCACCTCAGGCCTCGCCGCCTCATGAGCCAAGCGGGCCTGATGGGCTCCCCTCAGCCTAAGGGCCCCCGCGGCACCCACGGCCTGAGCCCCCCGGCTCCCGCTGCCCCCCGGCTCCCCACAGCCATTTCCCAGCCATCCCCTGCTCCTTCCCGCCGCTGCCCTGCGCCTCTCCCTCCACCTTCTCWCCCACGCTGAGCTCCCGCCTGGCACAAGGGCCGCCCCAAGTCCGGGGAGCGCCGGGAGCTCGYACTGACCGCCCTCAGTGCGGGGGAATGTTCCCGAATACCCTTSTGTGGAAAACCATAAATCAGCGTCAACAACCGCCCGAGGGGCCGCCTGTTGTACTGATCTCCACCTGTGCCTGCCTCCCTCAGGGTAATTAAAGGTGATTGGCAGCMGCGAGGGGTGTCCCTACCTTTTTACATTAAACTCCCAAAATCTCACCGCGCCTCACGCTACTCCCTTGAGGTGTTGCTATGTCTGCAGCCGTGTTTGCAACGCCKCAAAGGGGAAACACGCTATTATGGTGGTTGCAATATGCAGTAAACTAGCCCTGTCTGGGGAAGTAAGTTAGAAAGCACAAAACCTCAAAATCAATGTCTTTTGCAGGGTTTCTGTAAGCCTTTTCCACACCAGGGCCTGCACGGTGAAAGCAGAAAGGAAAAGTGTAGCTCCAAATGTCCTGTTTCTTCTGTTTACAGCATGCAAAGCTTTTGCCAATCACAGGGCAGGGCTGTTAACTAATAAAGGTTATAGTGTATAGTAGATAGTGTAGGCCTGGGACCTAGAAGGAGGCAGACTCTGGTGMCAGTGAAGATAAAGATTTGTTAGATAAATTACACCATAATTCAATGCCCTTTAAGATTTCAAAGTATACTAGAAATGTATATGCCAACTCTTGGCTAACRTTTTCAGTTTCGTGGGATGTGGCCWAGAGCAACTATATCAGAGGTTTCAGCATCCCACCAAAGAGTGAAAGTACAAAAATGTGATCTTCTAGAGAGTAAAAAATATTAAGGTTTGGAACATATTGGCTAAATATTCCAACAGGAAAAGGTAAATGCACGAAAATACAATTTGGGCAGTATAAACTATAACAGAAGTATGGGCTGTACTGAAGTGGTTATACAAAATAAATTAAGGAAGTGCTCTAAACAAGAATAACAAAACCACTCACGCTCAAAGAAAAGTTACTRCTCTAGCTAACTACCTTCAGAACGAGATCACTGTTATAAAGACACTTTCTTAGAATTCGTTTTTATGGTTAGTTCTTTAATATAAGATTGTTAAWTTGATATTTACTGCATCAATATGCRTGAGTCATGTAAGTAATGAAGATTTTGTGAATGTCTTTGGAAATCGGCCAAGATGAGAAGAGGAGGCCAAAAAGAGGCCAAAAGGTTATTCCTAGAAAAGAGGGGTGAAAAGCCTCGATAGCAGAACAGGCAGGTTAAAGAAACGGTTAACTGCCAGGGCCCTGATAAGAACATTTTTCTGCTACAGTACAAGMTCTAAGGTACTTGAAGGGCCAGAGTAATGAAAATAAACCACTGTTTCGTAGGGTTTCAATGTGTAAGGAAAAGTGAAGGTGTTTTAATGTTACTTCAAACAGTACTTGTCTCCTCTTTCCTAAATTAAAAATCTAGATTAGCTTTAGTATGTAGAGATGCTATTCCCATGATGATTGGGAATGATGCTAGTCCCATGATGATTGGATGGTTTCATACCAACTTCTCCTTGTACCTGTTTCCTGATGCATTGAGCAATGGGGAGCCCTTCTCTGTGTGCACAACTGAATGTACTTTGCTACATTATGCCCAATTTGCAGTAATTTCACTGGACTTTCAGTTTATTTTTGCATTCATTTTATGTTTAGAATATTACGACAATTCTTCTAAATCATGCCTCCTGTCTCTCTTGACACCAAAATATGTAACAAGTTGTGTTTGGTTTGGGTTTTTTTTTTTTGCTTTTGCAGGCAAAACCGGAACTTCTCTTAGTAGCTATRTGTAAACAGTGACTCTCTCTCAGCTGTTTGTTTTCAACTGCATTAGCCTAATTCTGCCTGTTCCAAGTCTGTATGTAGTATTACTAGTTTCAGAAAGAGCTGTTCCACTGGAATTGAGCAGCAGGGCACACTGACTCTTTTCTGGGTGTCTGACAGGATTCTCAGAAGCTGCTTAGCCAGGTCCTGAGCAGAGGAGTGGGCCCTGTACCCAGCTTTAGTGTCAAGCAAGCAGGCTGGGCACTCCACACAGGATGGAGTGCCCKGGCCATCATTGCATTCTGGGGCTCCAGCACACTGAATGTTCCCAACATTTCTTCCTTTTCCCTTCCCCAGTAGGGAAAYTGTGGATCCTCCATCCCTTCAAGGCCAGGCTGGATGGGGCTTGAAGCAGCCTGGYCTGGAAGAAGGYGTCCCTTCCTATGGCTGGGGGTGTTGGGACTAGACGGTCTTCAAGATCCCCTTCCAACCCAAGTCATTCTATGACTTCTTTGCTTCTCCTTTGTTGTGGAAGCAGAAGCAAGCAGCACCGGCTGTGCCGTGACCTCATTACCAACGACAAGGGACCGACGGGATCCGTTTCCCACTTTGTTAAATCGGTGGCTTCATCTACTAGAMTGCGTGTGACGGTGGCAGCAGCTGTCCCCCTTCGGGCCGCAGAGTCCCCTCGCTCCCTATGGCGGTGATGTCCCGCCTGCTAGCCCCAGCCATGAAGCGAAGCGAAGGCGGGAAGGGCCGCGAAGAACGGGCGCTTTGCCAGCGGGAGTGGCCGCGGGCAGGGACTAGAGCACCGCCGCCCTTTCCCCGCCGCTCCCCGCGGGTCGGTGACGCGGCCCCGGAAGGCGCTGCCGTCACTTCCCCGGCCGCCATCTTGTCGGGGCTGAGGCAGCGCCCGCCGGCCCCGCTCAGTGTGCGCGGCCCGCCCGCCCCGAGCGCCGACCCGCCATGGCCAACAACAGCCCCGCGGTGGCGAACTGCCAGGGGCAGCARGCGGCCCAGCACCCGCCCGGCGCCGTCCCGCCCGTGCAGCAGCCGCTGCAGAGTGGGGGCCCCAAGCCGGCGGCCTCGGGCAAGCAGGGCAACGTGCTGCCGCTGTGGGGCAACGAAAAGACCATGAACCTGAACCCCATGATCCTCACCAACATCCTCTCGTCGCCCTACTTCAAGGTGCAACTYTACGAGCTCAAGACCTACCACGAAGTGGTGGACGAGATCTATTTCAAGGTGAGCCCGCGGACCGCGCTGGCGCCGGGCCCGGTTTGGTTGCGGCCCGCGCCTTTTCGCCCCTTATCATGCGGTGAGGGATGGCAGTRAATACCGGTTGTGTTGCTTAGCTGGAGCAATCCAAGGCGCTGCGCTGTCAGTTTCACCAAAGAGGCGTGTTCCCCGTCGGATTTSGAATTGCGGAGATGTAAATTAGGTTTGAAGAGGGCAGCGAGAGCCGGGGCGGTGGGGGCGAAATGGCCGTCTAAGGGCTGCGCCTTGAGCCGGAGAGAGCGGGGAGGGCGCAGATGTGCCGCCGCTSTGGGAGACCAGCCCTCCCCGCAGCACGGAGCCGCCAACACGCCGTGTAACCACACACAAGGGATGTGCTGACCGTACGTGTCGGCGTGTGGCTTTCATTCTCAGTTACAGGCTAGGATTCTCTCCTCCCTAACTCAGTTTACAACTTGACGAGGTGGTTTTAGTGCATCTCTTGGCCGTAGGTAGGACGTGCTGGGGAGGTGTTCTGTATCAGGGCATCTATGTCTCGGTTCTTGTTTTGTTAGCAGGATTGAATCAGTTTTGCACCGAGGCTTCCATCAAGCCACTCTTCCAGGTAGAGGTATGCATAATTAACGCTAATCAACGCAGCCACTTTCTTTATTCTGATAACGAGACAAAATTTTAGATAATTTAAGCTTAGATAATTCAGCTAATCACCTGTGCTTTGGTGGTTATTGGCATGTTTTTTCAGGTGAATTCATTTTGCTTGACAMTGTTATTGTGTCGCCTGGGGGTTTCAATGTATTTGAAATAAATTTGTAAAAAGTAAAGGTAGCCTTTTTGTTACATTTATCCAAGCCAAATCAAGTTACCTAAGGGGCTATAAGTGTGCAAAATAAGTCCACCACAGTATTTTGATATTTTTGTCAGTTTGTGCTTACTTATGCTACTGTTTTTCCACTTAATGATTGTATTTCTCTGCGTGTGCTCTGTCATTTGGAGCTGATTTTTTTTTTCTTCTAATACTTAGTGTAACRTGTATTGTCGACAAAGCATCTCTCCAGTCAATTTACTACTTGCTGCATGTGTGAGAGAATCATGAATATCTGAACGGAAAGCAGCAGCTTCCTCATGTAATTGATGATTAGAGCTGAAAAATTTATAAAAGAAACATTTTCAGAAAATTTGAGAACTTACTCAATTTTTGAAGTGAACCCCTTCAGATGCACTAAGAAGTATTTGACGTGATTTATCATCTTTGTACTGGTAGAGCTCAGCAGTAGTAGATCAAACAGTTTATTTTTCTTACTGTTTCACTTTAAAAGTGGCTTTATTTTAAATTTGKGAAGAATTTTGATGCACCATTAAAATCTGCATATTGATCTGATTTGTTTACTGGACTTGACAGTTACTGACTCAAAACTGCATGCCAAATAAAAGAGAAAACTCAGCYTCTTACTCACTCCTGAGTAATGGCTATGAGGGAGAAGATAACCTGATGGTTAAGCTGCTTCATTGATATAAAGAAGATTTAAATTCTCTTAATGTTTTAAGATTTTTGAAYAATTGATTCTTGCCATAAGGGCGTTTGTTAGGTTTGTTTTGTTTTGTCTGGTTGTTTTTGGTTTTGTTTTGAATAAGCGTGATGTCCATCATAGCAGCTGTATTTTCAAGTGTATTTGTCTGTCTTTGAAAAAACAGGTGGCCCTTTTAGACAATTTTAGAATGCTGAGTGCTGGATTATTAGAAAGGGTGATTGTAAGTCATGCAGACAGCTAGTGATAAAGACCATCTTTGAAGATATGGTCAGATACTTGAATTAATTCAATATGTTTGAATTAATTTACTTGTAATTCTGGGCTCCTGTTTCAGTCCTGTATCCACAAAGTGCAGGACTTCCCTTTTTTTTCTTTATCCCTGACCTTAATGCCCTGTACATGTCCTCAGCTTCATTTCWTCTTTGTATTTCCAACAAGTTAGGCATACACAGTAGTCTTTGTGGGATCAAAACTTTAAATATTCCTTTCTAAAATGAATATTGTTTTCAGGGTTTTGTTTTTTTCAGGATTTTTTTTATTTGATACCTGTCAAAACCAGTGTGTTTATATTGACTGTAACTAATCAAAAAAGTTGAAGACTAGCATTTGCAATAGTGTTATGCTCAATCCTTTGACTTTAAAATGCTTCTCATTTCCTGTGAGAGGCAATACTGTAGAACCAGAAGGATATGCAGTATTTATGTTGTATTTGTGAACTTTTCATACTGATAGTACAGGAAGTCATAGGGGATTTTGAATTCTACAGTATTGGCATGCCTCATATTTCCTGTTTGGCAAAGACAGCAACTGTAGAAAACTCAAAAAAACATTTCAGCAATTTCTGCTGTTAATGTATCTCTRATTTCATGTGATTGTGTACGTAATTGGTTTTATTTCATATATTGTTAAAGAGTTTAAATTTGTGAACTACTGTACAGCATGAACTCTTATTCCCAATACAGTGTAGCACCRCTGTATCTTTTTTTGCCTTTACATRTATTTTAAGTTCACRTATTTAGGAAATATACTTGTTTATTGAGCCAGATACTGCTTCTCTGAATTTCAGAATTTCAAATATAGCATARGCAGTTTTAGGAATGATGTTGATTAACTGCTTGTGCACTCATCCCTAAATGTATCTAACATGACTTGAATTGGGCAGATTTTACTTGTTTGTWCTTAGGAATCATTTTATGTAAGAACATCACTGTAGCGTAAAAGAAAAAACACTGACTTTATCTTAAAGTGCTACCCTTGATAAASATTTTTGTTTTGTCCTAATAGTAAGTGATAAAGAAATCTCTAGCCTTGATGAACATTTTTGTTTTGTCCTAATAGTAAGTGATAAAGAAATCTCTAGCTAAGTTTACTTTAGAGATGGCATTTAGGAATATGATGAGACTGTATGTTTTGACTACTGTAGCAGGTATCACTAAACTTGTAAGGAGATTRTTTAAATAAAGGCAGTTGTTTAATYATCCAAGGAAATAGTAATGATGGGATTTAGTCATAAAGTATTTGAAAGTATAGAATAAGCATGGATACTTCCTTTGGGGTTATGAGATTTATTTTATTTAAATTTCATTCAAGATTTTGGCTGTAATTTCTTAATGTGATAATTTGAAAAGCCAAGTGCTTTGCTTTAATAACAAAGCAAACTTGATCTTGAATTTGCTAGAAGACAGTCTTTTAAGATTGGTTTAGGGTATCCATTGTTAAATTAGACTTGTACAGGCACCTAAACATAATGGAGGTTGTAACCGTAATTTTCTTTTTTTTTTTTTCTTCCTGTCCCTCACCTCACCTTTTCAGGTTACACATGTTGAACCCTGGGAAAAGGGAAGCAGAAAAACAGCAGGCCAGACAGGGATGTGTGGAGGGGTAAGTAGAAGTACGTGCCTTCTTAAATTTTTCTGTCTGGTAAATAACCTTCCCAAACATAGATAAAATTTGCTTGTATGTTGGCTCAGATATAAAACATTTATTGCCAAGAGTAGATATATATTTTTTTTTTGCTTCTATAGCTGTGGATGTAAGGAGTGTTACTTTTTCCACATAGCTTTGTTTGTAGACTGAGATTTTATATTGTGTTAGTTCTCATATTCTTTTGTAGGTTTGGGATAATGTCTTTGTGACTTCCTGCATCCTCACCTAACTTTCTGCTTTTGAAAGGTACGTGGTGTTGGAACTGGAGGAATTGTATCTACTGCCTTTTGTCTGCTCTACAAATTATTTACACTGAAGCTCACTCGTAAGCAAGTGATGGGCCTTATCACTCATACAGACTCCCCATATATTAGGGCTCTTGGATTTATGTATATTAGGTAAGTATCGATATCATCAACTGATAACTGATCTAATAWGCAGGAAGCTATAATAAAATTTTACATGTTTTTGTGCTTAAAGGTACACACAGCCACCTACAGATCTATGGGACTGGTTTGAATCCTTTCTTGATGATGAAGAGGTATGTCGGCGAGGGTAATAATTTGTTTTCTTTTGTTTCTTTTCCTGTTACTACTTAAGGYTTAAATGTTGCTTGATAAGACTTACTGTAGTTTGAATGTTACAATGTTATGTTCTTGTTTACATAATGAACATTAATTAGTGCAGGAAACAGGTTTGAGTTGGGACCTGGGTTATTTCTCTTAGATTTCAAAGATCTAACRGATTTTTTTCATTGCTTAAAATGTTACTGTGTCAGATTTACAAAGCCATGTGAAACAGGCATATTGAATTACAATGCAGACAGCAGGATGTGTGGACGTGTCTTCTGTGTGTTTTCTAAAGTCATAGTTACTTTTAGGTAAGGTTGTAGTAAGTTATCAGTGTGCTAAATTTGTATTATCTGTTTATTACTGGGATGGGGGAATTGATGCTTACATAAAAGAGTGGGAACTATATGGTAGAAACCAACATTCACCTTGGAAAATACTGCCAAAAATCTCTGTGGTTATTATTCATGTCCTGGTATAACAAAACCCAGGATTTCTTCAGAGGAGAAACAAAAAGCCTGATTACTGCATAAGGTGRCATTATTTATGGAACCTTAATGTGTTTGTTAATGGGGCAGATAAAGAGATGTGTATTCTTAACTGAAGAAATCCAGTAAAGAGGCTGCATTATTATGCAGTCACATACCTTTGGTATCCTAGTCCTGTTTTACTGTTTGGAGAAAAAGTAGGAAGCTGGTGGGTGAGGTTTCTTGGGCTATGAAGTTGCATACACAGTCTGCTATATACTGCTGCAATTTGTATTTATTGAGCAGGTTTTAAATTACATCCTAAGTTTAAGAATGGAACAGGAAGGATCACTTCCCATCTTCAGTGTGACTTCAGTAGGCATCTACTTAATGAAATTTCAAATGTAGTTGAAAGTGATGTCCAAATACTGGTATTAAAAATAGTGTTAATYATACCTGTATCTGACTGCAGTGCAGTGTATTTAAACAGCTCTTTTCACGCGAAGTATCAAAAACACAATGCCAAGGAAATAGCTGTTATTTCAGGTAACCTGTGCTATAGTACATTTTTAACAAAAATGAAACCGTATTTGACTTTTGCTTGAATCACTGTCATGTCCCTCTCCCCCAGGTGGGGCTAGCTAATATGAACTCTTTCTTCACTATGTTGGACTGTAAYTTATGAGAAGGATTGGGGTTGCTTCATTCTCAGGGTCCCACAAACTCAGTTCTGAGGACAGTAAAGCAGTCACAAGTACAGTGCATTGTGCAGGTCTTAACTGGTTCATTATTCAAAA